ATATTGTTTTATGCAGGTATATTAATAATTATGCCTATAATATTTTTTTCTGATTAAAAACCTTAACTTAAACTTGAATAATATGTAGTCAGTTCTTAAGAAGAATTGAATGAATAAAGACTAAAATTTAACACAATTCAATAGATGTTTCGATGTTGTCAATCAGTTTCTAGTCGTAATAAAGTGTGATTTGAAATTTTTCAACAGTTTTGAAATAGTGGAAATAAGCCGATACATTTATTTGGAGAAAACCCATTCCCATCTTTGGAGCTGTCGGTGAATAAAGTCAACTCAAAACAACTCAAGAAACAACTCCTCTCCATTGACCCCGAAATCTTGGAATATAATAGTCCGTTATTGGCCATTCCCATTATTGTTAAATGTAAAAACAAATTTTTAAATTAAAGTATATTATACCCTTTAAAAGTAAAATATTAGAAAAGCTTATTATTACATTAATTTAGAAATAAATTGCTCGATTTAAAAACGGTATTACTGCAATATAAAACTGAAGGATAGCAACAATTTCCTGATATTAGCTTAATATTGAATTATTCATATAGTTATTTTGAAATGTATAAAAGATGGGAGCGTATGAAGGATTAATTAAAATTTATATAATAGGATCCCTGATTTCAATATTGCAGATTAATTTTCAAAAAGGTACAACGCATTTCAGAACTAATGCATATTGTACAAAATATAAGGGAAGACATACAATTAAAAGTTGATTACCATATGGCATATTAAAATTACACATTAAAAAATGAATTATGTACGCAGTGCTATGTCTAGAAACAAATAAAAAAATTATTTATAATCTTTTTTTTTTGGAATAGACTTTGATAAGCAATTCGCTTTTATTGCATTATTTTATAAGATACTGATGGCTAATTTTTTGCAGTCATAAATTTTTTTTTGATGTGAAAAATATTTATTTTAAAATTTAAAGAAAAAAAAAATCTCACTCCAATTTTTTTTTTCTTCGGTTACCTATTCGAAAATACACGAGAGACTAAAAAACTTTAAAAGAAATTTTTTTTCAATTTTTTTTTTTTTGTTTTTTTTTTTTTTTTTATTAATAATAGAAAATTAATAATTTAAGAAATTTTTTATGTGTATATTTTTTTTTTCTTTAAAGAATAACCTACGCGCGAATATAAAAATAAAACACGACAATCATTTATTTTTATAATTAAATTTAAGAAGACAAGCACGATGTTTTCAAAATATTTTTAGAATAATTTCGTTTTTTTCGATTTTTTTTTTTTATTGAATAACGTTTTATTTTTCATTATGATTTTTTTTTTATTATAATTAAAACGAAATTTTAATAATTTTGTAAACTTAATGTGAAAAAAACAAAAAAAAAATCTAATTCTATATACCTACGAAACGTAAACAAAATACTTGTGTGAAACCGAAAAAAAACATAGAAAGAAAAATCGAAAAAAAAAAATATAGAAAAAATAAATTTTTAGAAAATAAAAAATTAAATTGATATTTCAAAATTCATATTTAATATGTGGAAAATAACAAAGTGTTAAAAAATTAATATAAAAAAATAATGGAAAGCAAATTATTTTGGCATTATTAGAAACATAAATTTCAATTTATTTTTTAATAAAAATATGACAGATCTAATTAAAATAAAAAAAACGCATAAATTATAAAATGCCTGATAAAATATATAGTTTTGCGTAGACTTATTGGAGACTTTAGAAATATTTTAAACTAATGACATATACATATGTAAAGTGTAGATAAATATATCAAATATGCTCTTGTCAGAAATGGTAGAATTCCTTGACTTTCAAAAACCACGTATTAATACACATTTGAGCAATTACGCTTTATAAGCTGAATTTTGCATTAATATTAAATTACTGCATTTTGGATATCAAGTATTGTCAATTCACTTTATTAAATTTACATTAACAGGGTATGGGATAGGGGTTCGTCTATAATTGTACGTTATGCGTTATTTTAAACTTACATTATTAAACGTAATTATTCTATTGCTTGCTAATATTCAAATCTCGATTTTTCAATGAAAGCTTTACAGGAAATAAAATTATTTTTCAACAATTGATTTTGTAATGGAAATATAGCTATTCCGGAAAAAATACTAAAATATTTATAAAATTATTTTTTTTTTTAAATTTCTTGTTTTTCGTTTATTGAGAAAATTGACAAGAGAAACTTATTTGAATCTCTAAGTTGTGCTGATAAGGTAAGTGCGCTTTCAATTGCGTACATACTACGTATGTTAACGTTTATAAAATATGAATACAAGAATATATTTTGGAATAGTGTAAAAAAATATCAATGTGTGTATAAGATTTTACACACCATCCAGTGATATCCATGAAACCGGCAGTTCTTGTATGTAAGACTAAATTTTTAATGCTATTTTTCTTAATTATTTTCATTTTATTGTCTTTGTTTCATTTAAAGTTTTCTGCTCAATTGCTCAGATCTTGTCATATAGAAGCTTCCCGTTTTTATAGAATTATAATTGCTGTAATTTTAGCATTTAATGAAGTGTTAAAAAGAACATAATATTTTGATATTTTTATTGTCTTGTACTAAGTGTATTTGTTCGCCATTTAACGTTAAAGAAAACATTAATAATTACACACAAAAAAGACAAAATAATTATTTTAGGCATGCTGTTTGTTTTTTTTTTTAATTTTTTTTAAATTGTTTTTGTTAAGGAAAATTAAATTAATCTTTTGAAGCGTCATTTTTTGTTTTAACACATGCGATTGTCATATATGAAAATCGTTTGGCTGTGTTTAATAAATTTTAAGTGAAGTGTGACAAAATAAAATAAAATATAAAAAAAAAGAAAAGAAAAAAAGTTTATTAAATTGTCTTAATGTTTTTCTTTTGATTTTCGCGAGTTTTCATCGTTTTTTTTATTTCTGTTTTTTTTTTTCGATTTTACTTTTAAATTTCGAAGATTTCGTAAGGTGAAAGAATTTTTTTCACTTGAGTTAGTATTTGTATTTTATTGTGTACTATAATTCGATTAGAAAACTTTGTGGAATTCCGGAAAATTTTGATTTTTTATAAAAGAAACTCACATTTTTTTTTTGAATATTTTAAAGTTTGCATGTACTTATAATTGATTGAATAATAAAAATAAAATTATGATTGCTAAAATAATTGGTGTAAATTAAATTTTTATAATTTTTGCTTTATATTTTTTAGCACTTTTCCAAAAATTTTTTGAAAAAAAGTGCTTATTAGTTTCACTCTGTCCGTCCGTCCGTCCGTCCGTCCGTCCGTCCGTCCGTCCGTCCGTCCGTCTGTCCGTGTGTCAATTTACAAAACTTCTACACCCTTGAAGATAGAAAGCTGAAATTTTATATGTACATAGATCTTTACTAGAAACTTATTTCTGTAGAACAAAATTTTTACCTATCTCCTCCCCTCTAGAAGTTATACCCCCCCAAAACCCTAAAAATGGCCTTTTTTAACCATTTGTTGCAATGAAACCATAAGCATTTTTGAAATTTTGCAAACGCAGAAAAGCAGCGGCTTGCTTCCCCTAGCGCGGCATACTATATTTGAACTTTAGAAAAACAAAATGGCCGTTCAAATTTACCGTTATCTAAAGTCCTTTTTTTGCAAATTTTTGATGTCGTTTTTTTTCCAAACTACAGCCTGTAGAAGCTTGAAATTTTAGGAGCTTTTAAACATTATCAAATAGTTCATTTCGCTAGAAGAAAATTTTTTTCCATCTCCATCCCCTCTCAAGTTATCGCCTCTTGAAATTTGTAAAATTTGAATTTTTGACACCTTATATTTCCGAAACCGCAAGCTTTTTCAAATTTCTATTAACGCAAAAAGTTAACGGTAAATTCCATGAAATTAAAAAATATAATTATTTTTCTTAACTCACAAAATTAAACCTTAAAATCGAGCATTATGTTAACCCCACTTTATATTAATTTTTGCTTTATTTCAAAGACTGCATAAATCATTCATCCTAAATATATGCAACCCTAGAAATAGTTTTGTATATGAATGAAAATAATTTTAATAGTGTGATAGGTACCATAGACTACATAGACTGTATTTAAAAGCAAAATTTTCATTTGTTGAAGGGAAAAGTGCTACAATACAAACCATTGGTTTGACCCAACTTTATTATTTAAAGACAAGAATAAGAGTCTCAAAATTTAATTTTCTAAGAAATTCAGTAACGATTTCTTATTTCAAATATTTTTATTCCTTACAATTAAATATTTTACATTTGTTGAATGTGGTGTAAAAACGAGAAAAAACTGTTTAGGCTACATACATAAATATTGTAAAAAATCTGGGTTCCGGTTTATTGAAGCCCAAATATTCCTTCAAACCTCAATTTTTCTTAACTTTATTAACTAGAACAAACACCACTTTAATTACTCAAACGGCTTAATAATGTTAAATAATTCAGAATAAATTTAATCAATAACTCATTTAAGTAGTTCTAATTTATTATCAGTTATAATTCATAATCGCCCATCACTCCCTATACCATTTGGTTGTAGAACGTCAACCATTATGAGCTTGTTGTTTTTTGAATAAACAATATTTCTGATTTATATATACATAAGCAATGAATATTGAAATTCATTTGATTGAAGCTAATTTGTAAGCAAAACACACTGCCAATGAAATAACACAAAATATATTTATTTTATTTTGTATCATAAAAAAATCACTAAACGCCCAAGTCCACGGTATAAAGCAAAAAGAATAAAATATACAATATTATATGGGTGACAAAAATATCACGTAAAATTAATTTTATTGAATATTTATATTAATAAATTTAATAAATCTTTCCGTTTCACAATTTTTATTATAGCAGATCATTTGGATTACATAATTTATTAAAAAATATTTTTTTTTATATTGAGTACGCAGTAAAATGGACTCCCTAATATAAATTTTTATTTATTAACTAAATAAAATAAATTGAATATAAAATTCATTAGACTTACCAATTGTTTTTAACATTTGAAAATCATCCATATTATATTGACGACGTCCTTTTCCTGTTGTATCATTATTAATATTATTTTTTCCATTTAAATTATCATTATTAATGTTTGGACTATTGCTATCATCATCGTCATCATCATCTTCACCTTGAAATTGAAAATTTTTAAGAAACTTGGTTAAAAAACTAAAGTATAATTAAATTTTGTATAAAAGAGAAAATTTGATTCCGATGGTAGATTTAAATTTGTTAATATTGGACACGAAATCAAATTTCTATATATTTTTATTTTTTATAGAAATCTTACCTGTACCATTACCATCATCTTCTTCTTCTTGATCATCTTCTTCATTGCCTTCATCATTATCATCACCACTGTAATCAGATTCTAATGGATCTGATGATTCACTGTTTGAACCAATACTACTTCCACCACCACTACTGCTACTAACACCATTTACTGATATTAATGATGGTATACCACTATTTAAAAGACTTGATTCTGTTAATAATGTTGTAGTTGGAGCTGTATTAGGACGTATTAAACGTGTGAAAGCTGTTGTAGACATTGTTTCTTTGTTTTTTATAATAATCTTGATTTTTCAGGAAAGAATTTTCTTCACCAAAAATATTCTATTTAAAAAAAGAATAATAAAATTATAAAAATAAAAGACATTATTAGACAAATGATTTTTTAAATACAAAATTTTTATCTTTTTTCTCTTCTATATGACGTGTCTTTGCATATCAAAAAGCAAAATTAATTGTCAAAACCAAAAGTGTTTACATATAATATTCGCATACCTTTTTTACACCCATGTCTTATAAATTTGAAAAATTCGTCTTTCAATAACAATAAAATAAAATTAATTGCCTTTCAACTGAAACCATTTCATTTATACAAAACATTAGTTTCGTATAAAAATATAGAAAGCTATTCGTATAATATTATAAGACAAAGGATCAGATTAAATTAAAACAAAATAAAAATACGAAAAAAAATTACAACAAAGCAACTTATACAAAAGAAAATCTATAGAAAAAATCTCATTTTCCCATTTAAAGAGCTAGGGGATAATGAAAATGTCTTACACTCATGCATTATATAATAATCTTAGAATCAGTTTCAAATATAACAAGATTTCCATCACTTCAACTACTTATATTTTATTTCATTATTAATTACTAAGGCGTGAAAAATCATTTGCTTGTCTTTTACTTAAAAACAAATAGCTCTTTTGTATATAATAAACATTAGAATAGGTACAAGATGTTTCAGTTATCGTAATATTATGATAATTTTTTTTGGGATAAAAAAAGGAACCAAGTTTCGGTTGTCTTATACATTAATATAATATTTTATATCACTTAACTAATAAACTACAAAATCCAGTTTTAGAAAGAAGTGACAACACCAATTCAGAATAAAGTATTAACCGTCCCATTAAAGCAACAGGAACTATGTTATTGAGATGCCATTGCTGATAAAAAATAAAGGCCGCTATTTGTACATACTCCTGGCCTTCAATATTTGCAAATTTTTAAAAAACTTAGTAGATCGAATTTTTTGCATACAGGAGGAATCCTATTGGCCAACTCTTTAAGTATATAAATGTACTCGTATATATATCGTTATTTGTACGTTCATACATAAATTTTTAGTTTTTTAACTATGTAGTGTTACTCACTTCTAATTTGTTTCACTAATTTATTTTTTGTTTTTGGCAGTTTAGCTATGTATATTTGCAAGGTCAAGGTAGAATAATAAAGTTTTATAAATGTATATATACACACATAAATATGACATTATGCGTATATACACAGAACACCATCGTTTGATAAAAAACAGAAGTATAATACATTTATTAATGACCACGTCAACTAATGGGTATGTTTGCGAATAATTTTCTAACTCTTAAGAAGATATTTCGTATATTCAGTTCGTATTTCAACTTGTACAAAATAGCTACATGGAATCATGAGATTTAAGCCCATCTCAAGTAGGCAAATAACTGTGAATACTCATACATAATGCCTATAATAAAATCGATTTAAAAATCTTTGTATATGCAGACTTTTTGTAAATTCTTAGATAACAATCGACTGTAAAAATAATTTGTTATACGAATAACACATGAAATAAATATTGTGCGTATACATAAATAAACAAAATGACACCTAAATATATTTAAGTGTTTGGAACAGGGATAAAGAATAATTAATTAAGTTTTTCTATGGCGTTTAATTTGTTATGTTCAAAAAGCTTATATATATGTACATATATAGAACATTAAATTACAAAAGTGTTATAAAATATTATGTAAATGTATATGAAATCATGTCAAAAGGCTTAAAAGGATAAAAATGAATCCTGAGAAAGATTGAAGATGTTAAAATTAATTTCATTTTTATTATTATTGTTTTTTTTTATAAAAGGATTTTCATTCGCTGTGAATAATAATTAAAAAGTATAATAATAAAAATTAATTTTTTTTATTGTTATATAATATATATGTATACCGTGATATCGTTGTTATATAACACAATTTTGAATAAAAAGACGGTAAGAATTTTATGTATAAAGAAAAATACATATGTACTTATGTTGTGTTCAGTATTCATCATCAAAGTATAAAGAATTTAATAAATCAAAATCAAGGAATTTTTGAAATTTAATCTTCATATGTATATATTTTTTATAATTTAAGGGATCAAACTTCAAATTAGTAAAAAAAAATAGAAAAGCTTTTTAGCTATAAAAAAAATATCAAAAATTAAAAATTGAATCTGAGGAAGGCAAAGTTTTTAGTATGGGGAATTTGTCGAAATATAATTTCATAAATTCAATTTAAAATAGATTAAAATATTTATTTACAATTAATCCAGTTTGGGTTATCATGCTACTATAGAGCGACTGGCGCCCGAACAGTGCTTTCGAATTTTTAATAATAAAAAAATTTGAAAACGTTATAATTAAATTCCGATTTTGAGCTTGCCATTTGTAGACTGACGAAATCGTGCGGGTAGACTCTTCGCTTTTTTTACTCGCGGAAGTCCAGATATCTTGTTTACATCGACTACCCTATGGCATTAATGACTGCACTCCTAAAAAACAATACTGGGTGTGAAATGTAATGATGCACCAATTGTAATGTGGGAAAAAATATCTCTTAATTAAAACATTTACATAGAGGACAACTTACCCCATCAACATCTTATTTTATTTGAAAAGTAAATCATGTCGAACAAAATTATATGTAAATGTACAATGGTGGCTACTTTTAACCCTGTGTAGTGAATATTGAAAGCAAATAATACAAATATGAATACCAGTATTGATGCGCTGTTAAAACAATAACCTTACTGGTTGTAATCCTTATAGTAACTTATTAGACCTTGTATTATATACTTATACATACAAAAAAAATGTAGTTAATAAAAATTTTTATTTTAATGTAAAAACTTTAATTATTATTTATGTACGTACTACCGTAGATTGTAATTTAAGAAATAAAGTCATAAAAAGTATAAAACACGTAAAATCGTAAAATATATAAAAAAAAGTAACATAAAGTTTGCGAACATTTTAATTTACAAAAAAATTTGTTGACTATTTTGTGGTTTTCTAATTATCTTCAACTTTTATTTATGTTTCCTTTCGAATGCAATACCATGCTTATATGTACATTCATTTTTATGATTATATTATGGTAGAATTTTGAAAAAAAATTTATAATTTCGCTGGTGATAAACATAAAAATTGGCTAAACACTTTATTAGAAATGATAACGGAGCAAGTATTACAAATTTAATAGCAAAAAAATGGATAGATTATTTCTATACTTTTTTTTTCTACGTTGTTGTTTTCCTAGTATTTAATCCTATAGAAATAACGAACTAACATTAGGAAACTATAAATTTTCACTTGTTTATTATTGCCAGATTCATTAAATTTATTTTTATTTTGTTTGGCCGTAAACTTTGTGTTTATTTAATTCATTAAAAGTAATTATTGTAAATACCATGTAGGTATTATAGTTGCGCCATTAAAAATGGTCTGTTCAAAAATTTTTCCTTTTTGTTTATTAGATTTTAAAAGCCTTTTTTAACGGTAATCGATAACGTATTTTTTTTTTATTTTATAGTTTTATTTTAGTACTTTTTAACCATAAAAAAAATTTTTTTTTTTACCTATCGTTATCATTTACAATAAAAACAAGGGAAAAACAAAAAAAGGCGCTAAAAAATATTCTTCAATATTGCCAATATTTTTTTTTGCCGTGATTGTCATACAATAATAGCGTGTACAATTTTCATTTATTAAAGATAAAAAAAACCGTTTCCAATTTAATACATAAAATAGGTTAACAGATACATAATAAATACATATGAACATAATATGTAATAAAATAATAATATTTTGGAAATTATACTCTTTCTTTTTCTCTTTTTATATCTCAATCTTCTCTATTATGGCATATACTACTTTTATACATGCTTATATGACATTCAATTACATTGATAGATTCATAATAAATAATAAATACAATGTAAATAATAATAAAAAAAACGACGAAATTTTATGTTTCGAGCTTATAAAATATTATTAGTTAGCTACATATCATGTATGTACATGATGTATATTATTCCGTGATATAAGAATATGATTAAATAATTGAAGAACGTGTAAAGAGCAATCATAATTTTGACGCTATAATAAAATATGTATTAAAGTTATAAAACGAGAACAGGTAGAGTTGATCATGTTAACTATGTGATATCTGTGCCAATTAATGATTCTGGGAATTGAGTGATAACTGTTATACAGTTTCAAACCAACACTTTTTATGAAATTTCTTACAATTTGGATGATTTTTTTTCTTAAATGGTAGCTTAACTCACTTTTGCGTAATTGCAGCAATGTACCCTGACTAGATTCTAAGATATATGGCCATATAACTTTTGAATTTTTGGGATAACTATCCAAACAATTGCCTTAATCATATCCAAATAATATAAGTTTCTGTTTTTAACTATATTATAAATCATTTCTGGAAATTTGACAAAGTTATTTCAATTAGTTTTCTTGAATATTTATTTCGATTAATAAAATTTGTTAAAACAATTAAATATGCATATATTTTGTTCATTATATACTATGATGTCATAAATGTTGTATGGTCAGTGATCTTTATGTTGTTCCACATGTTGCTAAATAGATTTATGTACTCGTATTTTGCAATTTTTAGCAGAAAGAAACTTACATTTAAATACGGTCCTATATTCTCTTTTCTTCATTTAATGACTTGATAATAATTGTGCAGCTTAAAAACGCATAATCTAAATACTTCAAAAGATTTCATAGATTTATAGCGGCTGTTAAAATATAAGACTCTTTATATAGTCTTTTAATCTGATAAGTAAAAGAGTAGAATACAGAATCATTTTCAAAATATTTTATTTGGGTAAGTATTAAATTTAATCATTACTGTACACAGAAAAAAATTATTGAACTCATGATATCGTTCGTTTTTAAAGTAGTTTTAATTTAAGGTTAAAACAAAGTGATTTTATAACAGATAAAAGTTATATACTGTTATAGATAATTTTCTTTGGAAAAAGTGTATACTAAC